TCCGAGAGTCGTGGCACCACACCACAGCCGCTCGACGGCGTGGCGCGAACCAAGACTAATTCAAATATAAGTTAATTAACTTAGTTAAGTTAAGTCAGTGAAATAGCGTAAGTTATTCCACTTACCCTTTTCCGGGTCCGGAACTGCTGTTGGGCACCTTGTTTGCCCTCTTGATGATATCTGTACCTGTTTTAGCTCTTATTTCAACAACTGCCGCTAAATGAAATAACATAATGTAACTAACTACTTTACTTATTTTATTTACTAAAATAGATTATTTCACTTCGGACAAACGGGCTTCGGACAAACGGGGCGCCCCCCATTTGTTGATGTAATGTACAACGACTTCTGAAATCTAATATCATCAGATTTTCCAATCACATTAACACATCGGTTACTTAACACATTCAAATCATTCACTGTACACTTCCCTTTACTAACACGTTTCAAAAAGTTTATGTAATCAACATTTGCAAAACGGTGACAAATATTTAAAACAAAAATTTTTGAAATTTCCCCCATGATAATTTTTCCTCTCTCTAATAACGCATTACCCTTTTGCAATGTATCAATGTGAGCATACAAAGGTTGATCTAAACACGGTAACAACTGATTACAATCACAAAAAAAAAAAATACTACCAAACCACCAAACAACAAATCACAATCAGACAAATCTTTACACCTTCTTTCAAGACATGCCAACATTCTGAGACCAACCATTGAATATTCATCAACAAATAAAAATTTTAGGCCAATGTGCTTTTCCCTGAAAGCTAATAATTCTAATCCAGTCAACTGTTCAGCATTGAAACCATATCTTCCCAAACCCATTAAAGAATGTAATGTGCTACCATTAATAATTCTAGCTGCAACACCCGTTGGAGCAACTACCTTTACAGTATAGTTACCAAGCTCTCTTTTAATCTGCTGAACACACATCTTAAGCACAAATGGGGGGCGCCCCGTTTGTCCGAAGTGAAATAATCTATTTTAGTAAATAAAATAAGTAAACGCCATCCACTATCTTTAATTTTGCAATCTCAGGATCAAAACGACACCAAAATATATGTGATAGCGTGTGATATTAGTACCGGAATGCCTGGTACTGGTAAAACTCATTGATGTAATGTACAACGACTTCTGAAATCTAATATCATCAGATTTTCCAATCACATTAACACATCAAAGGAACACCATCGCCTTTATGGGCTTATTTCACGCTTTTATAAGAACAAAAGGAATCAGAATTAGAAGAATATAGGTGTTCCACTGAGGTGTTTGACATCGACACACCGAAGGCCGGCCGATCCGAGCCGAACAGATCCGAGAGTCGTGGCGCACCACAGCCGCTCGACGGCGTGGCGCGAACCAAGACTAATTCAAATATAAGTTAATTAACTTAGTTAAGTTAAGTTAGTGAAATAGCGTAAGTTATTTCACTTACCCTTTTCCGGGCCCGGAACTGCTGTTGGGCACCTCGTTTGCCCTCCTGATGGTATCTGTACCTGTTTTAGCTCTTATTTCAACAACTGCCACTAAATGAAATAACTTAATGTAACTAACTATTTTACTTATTTTATTTACTAAAATAGATTAATTCACTTCGGACAAACGCACTTCGGACAAACGGGCTCACCTCCGTATGTACATGCTCCGAACCCTAAAATAGAAAAAGGAAATAACTAAGAATGCGTCTAAAAATAGTTTCATTCTGAAAGAACGATAACATACCA